TTCAAGGGCTCTTTTCATTGCAAATCTTCCCCTTTCTTAGAAAAGGGAGATATGGTATCTCGCAGGGATAGTAATAGATAAGCAACTGGCACCAAAATGCAACTGCCAATCACCTTGCTTTAAAATTCTAGGTCTTGGTTCCTATCTTCTTCTTGTACAATCAATTTAATCTCCAAAAAGTGGTAAACAATCTTCTGAATAAAAAGTTCCATATGTTTTATCTAATTATCTTTAACTCTAACATTAGAAACAGTGTATCTTGCTAACCCAAATACTTCTGAGCAATTTGAAAGAAACGAATGAACAAACAAGATGATGGGGGAGGGGGGGTGTAGAGAGAGATTATCTGAAAGGAAAGGAGGGAAGGAAAGGATACTGAGGAATGAAGAGGATGGAAGTATGCTGCATATATACATATAAAGACAGCATAATGAAACCCACCAAACACTGTTTGAAAGAAGGGAAAAAGAGTCAGAGAGGAGGAATGGGAATATGATGGAGCGTGAACTTGTTCAAGGTACACTGTATGCATGTAATTACTACAATGAAATCCCCTCATATTATCAATGTATGGTAAGTTTAAAAAAGAAAAAGATGAGAACTAAGCTTTCAGAACATATTAACTAAGAATAATTTAAGAAAGGAAGAGAAAAACTGCATTACTTTCTAGTTAAAACACCACAAAATTTAAAAAGTATATTCTACTTGCTGAAATTTTGCTTCTAACAGACTTTAAAATTTTGGTTTAATTCTCTGACAACCAATTACAAAACTCACATTGGTAATATATGGCTCGATAGCTTGAGCTGTCCTCTTCAGTAAAGCTTTTGCCAAATCATATGCTTGTTTGTTTAAGTTCTGAAAAACATAAATAGTATTTATATTATATACATATATATATTATATGAAACAAGAAACTATGGGGGTCATCTAGTTCTAAATATTTATGATTTATGCTTTGTCATGTTTGCAGTGCTAGGGATCAAACCCTGAGCCTCACGCGTGCTAGTCAAGTGCTCTACCAATGAGCTACACCTCCTACACTGTACCTCTAACTATGAAGAGCAAAATATTATCTGTATTCAAAAGACTTTACTCTTTAGTAAATGAATGAGAAAACTACCTACAAAAGGAAGAAGTCTTTTCCTAAGACTATCTAGCCTACTAGATCACAAGAGCCCTTCCAAACAAGAATAACTATATTTCCTTCATATCTTATTCACTCTAAATCTAGTTCCTGTAGGGAGTGGATTATGAGAAGCCTATGAGAACGTGACATAAGCACAGTTGTGCTCAATGATCTACAGGCTGAGTTTGGCAAGGCCCCAGCCACAGAAGACAGGAAGAAAGCACAGATACTTTCCTAAATTGTTTACATTCACAGAAGTAGGAATGCAGGTTTCTCTTTTTACAACGTCACACCCCCTCCCAGAGAACTGTTGCTCCACCTTCTTGTTTACCACTGGATATAAAAGACTCCCTGAAGGAGGATGCAAGGGTATTTTTTCATGGGGGATGGATTGATTGGTGGGTTGCTGCTGCTGCTGCTGCTGCTGAGTTATTCTAGAGATGAGAGGAAACATGGGACAGTGCAAGTCTGAGCATGGAGACTTTAAGAAAGCTAAAGAGAGAACATGGGACAGTGCAAGCCTATGGCAAGAGACTTTAAATAGTAAAGAAGAAAGACTTTCGAAGTTAAGGTTTTAAAGACAGAGAAAAGAAGCAAAGTAAAAGAAGAATTAGAGAAAAGAAGCAACGCAGCTGTTGTGCATCTCTATCTGAGCGCCCAGCACACCCAGGTCCCCACCTTTATGCACGTCTGTCTTCTACCATTTGTCCTTTCTGCATCTCCAGTCACCCCCAGTTAGATCAGGAGGAACAGGAGCTCAAGAAAGCTTGCTACACTTCTAATTTCAAATCAGTTCAGGTGAGTACAGATTCAGGCTGTTACACACCAGGTTCAGAAGAAGCAAAATAGAAAGCGGTCACACTGGTTTCTCATGTGGGCAGCAGTGGGGGGTCCTCAGGTGGGGAAGGATGAAGGCTTTTTAGCTGTGGAAAATCTAATTTACTCACACACACCTCAGCAAGAAATACAATAAGGCCGAACAGAGTGGCTCACATCTGTAATCCCACTTACTCAGAAGGAAGAAATGGGGAGGATCACAGATTGGGGACAATCCAGACAAAAAGTTAGCAAGTCATCAATAAGCTGGATACGATGGTGATACACCTGTGATTCCAGCTATGTGGGAAGGTGCAGATAGGAGGAGTGGAGTCAAAGGCCAGATGAAGCAAAAATGTGAAACCCTACCTGAAAACTAACTAAGGCATAAACATGCTGGGGGTGCGGCTCAAGTGGTACAGTGCTTGCCTGACTGAGGCAAAAGTCAGGCAAGGTCCTGAGGTCCTGAGTTCAAAATACCATACAACAAAAAAGAAACAGGAAAAAAAATGCAATAAGCAGTAAAAACATGCACAAAAAAAAATCTTAAAATGTTACTCTAAGAGACTTGGATTATGATAGACGAACCGAAGGTCTAAAAAGAAACTATTCATTGGAATTAAGCATATTCCAGAGAAAAGGAACAGTGAACATATATGTCTTTATAAAGAACAGAAAATTATTATTTACAATTCTGTTTAGAGGTTCAAAATCAAGACTTCAGAAGATTAAATGTGAAAATACATCCTTAAACTCACATTCTTTACTCATATATTTATAGATTTATCTACCTTGATGCTTGTATTATTTCATTCATTTCTAAATCATGTTTAGTTATTGTACTATACAGCATGCTATAGCTTCTTTACTAATTTTCTAGTTCAT